GCTCTTGAAGGTGGTGGCAATCACACATTCATAAAAAAAATTGGGGAAAAAATAGGAAGTCTGCTCTTATTCTCACAGAGGTCGAAATCAGTACTTTCGCGTCCTATTGGCATCTTGCTCTAGTAGGGAAATGGAAATTTCTTTATGGTCACCCAAAACTGGAGATCGAAACTGGAGAACGTTCGGAAAGAGTTTGGGGCTATGAAGCTATTGGGCAGTTGAAATATTGGTTTACTTGACGGTCTGCACATACTGATTCAGTTGTCTCATGATGTTGATTACACTCACATCTTTTCTCGGCAAGTATCAAGATCAACAACCGTTATATGAAAATTCTAAAGTGAACTATTGGTTTCGACCTAAAAACGGATTCCCCTATCATTCCAGTTTGGATAAAAATTTTCGGGGTTAAAACTACATTTGTTCAACTTGAAAATTCTCTACTCCTTAACAAATGCTTACGGTAAACCTCTCAGGGTTGATAATCCTATGTTTGTTGTCACCAAACCCTCCGTGGCTTATGCGTTAGTTGAGAGGGATATCACTCAACCAGCTCTGAATGAAGTATGAATTGGAACCACTCACAACGAGTATTGGCAAAAAGTTGAAATCGAACCACACCCTCCTTATTGCTCTCACTGTAATATGTTTAGCCACAGCTCTACTATTTGTTATCGTTTACATCCTCATCTAAGGCAGAATATCGCCAAAGAACAGCCACCTATTATCCCTATTGAGAAAATGCAACCCGACCTTCTTCCCAACACCGCAGTTCCTGAAGAAGAACAACATACTACAACTATAAATCCAGTTGTGTTTATACCACCCACTGTTATTGAACAAGATTCACTTACATGTCAAGACACACGTGAGTGCTCCTTTGATTCAATAACAGATCAGCCGGTACAATATGTAGTTGCTTCTAATGTTTAACAACCTGCACATAAATAAACCAAAATTGGGTTGCTCTCTAGCCACTTGATATTATGTATTTAGCATTTTTAGACTTTTTTTTATGTCTCTAATGTACTTTTCAATATTTCCTAGTTTTGGAACCACTAGTGGCTATGGTGTGGGCAGGGTGTTATGTTTGGGCCCTCCAACACATTGTATCTGTATCTTTATTTCTAGTTAATATATTAGCCTTTTTGGGCTTTCAAATCTCTATATATATATATATATATATATAATGTGTGTGTGTGTAAAAATTTCTCCCAAAAAATAAAAAACTTCTCTACAAAAGGCAATGACAGAGGCTAGACAAGAAGAGGAGGAGACATGTTGAGAATCTAAGGCAGCCTATGACGATGACAGAGACTATGAGGGGCTTATTCACAGCGGTGGCATTTTGAAAACTCCACCGGTTGTTTGAATATTGCGTTTTAGAGACGTTTTTAAAAATGTCGTTCACTAATTTCTATTAAACACGGATCGAGGGTAGAACATTTTGATCCGCATTTCGTTCGAGCAAAAGACATATCACGCCCTCGCTCTCTCTGCATAAGCGTATCACCCGACCCTCGTTATCTCGTTTGCTTCCTCCCGGAAGGAACTGTTGACCCCCTCGATATCTCCTCTCCTCTTGCACACTCGGAGATCGGGCGGAGCACGCCGCTTGCGCCGAAGGCGCATCCTATCTGCCCTACTGTTTGGCGTCTCTCTATTTCTTCTTGGTATTTTCCTTGTTCTTTTTTAAAATTTCTATATTTTTCCCCGCCCTCTGGCATGTAATCTATATCTGGAAGAGGAAAATTTTCTCTGTGATTCACTATTTGATCTTTGACTATATGGATTTTCCATGAGTAAGGTTCTATGCTTATTATTACGGAGGTTAGTGAGGAAGTCCATATAATGATATGCTTTAATTTTAAGATATTTAAGGTTTTTGTTGGCAAAGTTGGTAGCTGAAATAGATATTTATTATTATCATTTCTCTGATGGTGATCAAGGATTTAGCTTGCCTTGCATTCTTTTTTTCCTTCTTTCTTATGCATTCCTGGCATCTTACGATGCTGGTTTGTTTCGTAGGAGAGATGCTGCAGATAGCCCTTAAAACTGGAATGCTTTTAGTTTTATTGCAGAATGTATACTTTATTTTATGGTATTGACAATTTGGAATTGCATTATTTTTACCCTTTTTTTTTTCAGCTGCTAGAGAAATCTCTAAGCCAAATTGGCTTTTCTTGTTTTACTGTCTTACACATTCTAACTTTTATGGCAATTGGTAGAATGTGTTTTCTGAAAATTTTGCATTAGAAACACTTAAATATCCATTAGAGGTTGCTACTAATTTGATTATAGAATTGAGTAAATTTCTGGGTTGACTGCAAGATATATAGTAGAACGGGACTCGGTTTCATCCTCTTGTAAGAAGGATGGGGCATGAGTGGTTCAGGTCATATTATAATAAATGCTTGATTTTTTGTGCAGGTTTTCTTAGGGTGAAGAAAATAAGTTTTAAAAGCCATTTTTTTTTTTTTTCTTTCCATTGATGGTTATGTTTGTTTAAATGCCAAAAATTTTTTGTTTCTTCAAAAAACTCTCTTAGAAAGGACAAAGCCTCCTCGTTCGCTTACTAGAAGTAGAAAAGATTTTATATTGACCCATTAGTTTGTTTTCTCATATAAAGAGAATGCGTTCACTGTTTCTTAAATACAAAGGGGTGTTTTTATCACAATCTTTTTGGAAAATTGATATTCACTAAAGAAAGAAAATTATCACAATGGAGAAATTAGAGTTTCCAACACTTTTTTATTGAGTAAACGAACAAAGCAAGAATAGCCAGAGGATTCTCTGTATACTCCAACTTCTCTTTCTTTCATGGGTGAACAAATGGAATCTATGGGAAAGGTAAAACTTTTGTTTTCTTTTATATAACATTCTTTCAAATTCCAAATCCCCTTGTTTATAAGATTGAATTAATTGATACCATGATGAGATGGTGATTACATTGTGGCGTGGTTTTCTGTATAGACACCTATTATGCAGATGGATAAATTGATAAACCTATAGCCATAATCTGCTTTATAGACATCATATAATACTCTAAAATTTTTACTCCCACAATTTAAATATTTAATATTAATTATATTTTAAATTAGCAATCATATTTATAATAGTTTTAAAAAATTGAAGTTAAAAAATTTTCAACTTGTGTACTCTACATTTTCTTAATTGATTTTCAATTCACTCATTTTAAATTTGGAGATTTACATAACATTTAATTGTTATGTATTTCCTCTCTAGTACGTGTACTTCAATTTGAAAGATTTACATAACATGACTTTTTCTATATTAGGTTATGTTATTTTTTCTATTGTTGTTTTATTTTTCTATCAATACGAGTGCACTTTTTGATCCATATTCATTATGGCCACAAACAAAGAAGGGGCTATATCAGAAATGTGGGATAAGAATGTGACAAATATTTTCTGCAGTCTCTATATTAAGAAAATTAAACTTAGAAATAGACCTACTACTTACTTTAATAAAAAAACATGTCAGAATATTTCCAATAAGTTCAAAGAAATGACAAGGCGGGAGTACGATAGATTGAAATTCAAGAATAAGTGGGACAGCTAAAGGACTGGAAGTTATGGAAGAAAATTAAACGGGGATCGACAGAATTGGGTTGGGATCATGTCAAGCGTACCGTGGATGCATCAGAGGAATGGTGGACAAAAAAGTTAAAGGTAATAATTGTACCGCTGTGAACTCTTCAGTTAATTATCATTCATCCTTCTATTTTGTCTAATATGCCCCTCCCCCTCCCCCCTCCATGTTGCAGGCAGTACCAAGTGCAAAAAAATTTAAGATGTGCGAAATTGAGCCAGACTTAGCAGATGCATTGGATGTTATGTGCAAGGGAATTTTCACTACGGGTTAGCATGCGTTCAACCCCAGTGAGAAGGGGTTTGTTGGCATCTCAGTTAACTTAATACCCGATCATGTTATGGGTTCTGGTGAAGCCCCGAGCATAGAACCCGAGAGAGCTCAAGTCCACGTGCCAATCAAAGAGGCGCAGGATGGAAAAAATAAGGATTTTTTCGTGTAGAGCTCGATAAATAGACTGATACAAGTATTTGCAGCTCTGCAACCTGTTGAAAATGCAGTGGTTGATCCCAATGTTGATGATTTTATGACTGTTTTAGATGAAATTCCAGAAATTGTGGTTGATCCCGCTTTCTACTTAAAATGTGTTAAAGTCCTCGATGAT